GAGAGAAGTATAATATAGTGGAAATGTAATGAACAGAGAGAAGTAGAATAGATTGGAAATGTTAGGAACAAGAGGAAGTAGAATAGAGTGGAAATGTTAGGAACAGAGAGAAGTAGAACAGAGTAGAAATGGAAGAAATAGAAAGAAGAAGAATAGAGTGGAAATGTAATAAACAGAGAGAAGTAGAATAGAGTGGAAATGTAATGAACAGAGAGAAGTAGAATATAATGGAAATGTAATGAACAGAGAGAAGTAAAATATAGTTGAAATGTTAGGAACAATTAAGTAGAATAGAGTGGAAATGAAAGGAACAGAGAGAAGAAGAATAGAGTGGAAATGTTAGGTACAAGGGGAAGTAGAATAGAGTGGAAATGTTAGAAACAATGGGAAGTAGAATAGAGTGGAAATGTTAGGAACAGAGAGAAGAAGAGGGAGTATTTGAAGTGTAGGTATATTTAAGATATTTTTATATATACGTTTCATTTTAAATATACCTTACACTTCCACTCATGTCCTTGCTATTTGGGAAATTTCCATCTTTAACGTCTTTGATAATTTGGGAAATTCCCGAAATTCCCAGACATTTCGGGAGTTCCTCTGATTCCCAGAAATTTATGGAAATCCACAAATTCCTTTAAGAATCTGTATAGTTGGTATATTTTTCATCTTTACAAACTTTCTCAAATTCTGAGCTAATTGGTACATTTCCCAAATACACAGATATTTAAGGCATTTCCCAATTTACCGGACATTGGGAAAATTCCCCAAATTACTCTATTCTTCGATATAATTGCTGTCGTGTCATGGTGTAAGGAGCAAGGGAAAGGAGAATGATTGGAAGTGAAGTTAACAATGAACAAGAGAGTAAGTGGAAGTTAAAGGAACAGAAGAAAAGGAAAATGACTGGAAGTGTAAGGAACAGGGGGAGAATGAGTAGAAGTGAAATGATTTGCTGTTCCGCAATGAGTGGCGTTTCCGTTCTCAGAATCCTCTGGTTCCGCTAGTGGTTCCACAACAGGTTTAGCTTCTGCTCCTGGAATCCTAAGTCTGACTAGAGCTTTAGCTGCTCCAGATATGTGAAGAACTGTCTGTGAAGATCAGCTTCTCCGGTCTCAGGTGTAGGCAGCATCTGATATCTTGAATATCCTGGTTCTCCTCTGTATCCAGGATATTTCCGTGGGTAGTTCAGACGGGGTGGTACGAGAGCAATTGATATGTCTGACCTGATCTTCTAGCTGCTCCACAGATATGAAGAACTGTCTGTAAAGATCAGCTTCTCCAATCTCAGGTTCAGGCAGTATCCGATATCTTAAATATCCTGGTCCTCCTCTGAATCCAGGATATTCCAGTGGGTAGTTCAGACGGGCTGGTACGAGAGCAATTGGTCCAGTTCTAGAAGCTACAGGATATGAATTCCTTGGCGAGGTATATATTGGTATTCTAGCTGCTCCATATCTTGGAGGTCTACACTGAGAGGAGATGGAGCTTCTATATCTCGAGTGTTCCTATTACATGAACCATCTGGTCCACTTTTATCTGTAGTTGGACTAACCGGGGCTGTCCACCATGCTAGAAACTAATGAAGAGAGGTCCCTTGGGGATGTTGATGAATCTGAAGATGCATCCTCTGGGATATTGATGGGTTAAGGAGGCTGGTGTCCTCCTTGGTACTCGAGTAGGCATATGAAAGTTATATCATCCTGAGATACAAGTCCTCAGGCCTTAAGTGGGACCAACGGAGCTATAAGACTCAAACGTCTATCCTGTATAAGATCCAGGAGTGTACTGATCCTATTCTCCAGGTTCTTTAATAAGGGTTGAGGGGTTTTGCATTGGGTCATTAATTACTACATTACACCATACTTTTATTACTACAATATATATATCAAGATATCTTTATACTTACAGGTAATTTTTGGTACTTTGCAGTTCATCAGAGTGGGATGGTACTGGTTATATCAAGTTTGAGAAAATAAAACCTTTGAATGATAAAATCTCTTTTGACATTTTCATTAATTTAGTAATGAGATTTATGTTATTTTAATTAATTTAGTAATGAGATTTATGTTATTTTTATTAATTTAGTAATGAGATTTATGTTATTTTTATTTTAAATAGGATTATCCATTAAAGTCAGATCAAAGATTTTTAATAATAATGATCATTATTGTTTAAACAAAATATCAAATCCTATTTTGAAAGATTAAAGTATTAATATTTGAAATAAAGGATTTCATAAATTTATCTTTTTTAATTGGATTAACTTAAGTTAAAGTTAAAAGACTTAAAAGATTTATTTATTCTACATGGTGAAAAAGATTTGCTGTTAGTTATACCAATTTTATACGAATGAAGGAAGGGGAGTAGGGATAAGAGATAAGGAAGGGGGAGTAAGGAGAAGGGTAAAGAAAGGAAGGAGGGGGAGTAAAGTTAAGGGTAAAGAAAGGAAGGAGGGGGAGTAAAGTTAAGGGTAAAGAAAGGAAGGAGGGGGAGTAAAGTTAAGGGTAAAGAAAGGAAGGAGGGGGAGTAAAGTTAAGGGTAAAGAAAGGAAGAAGCTAGGGAGTAAAAAGAAGGGTGAAAAAGAGAGGGAGGGGGAGTAAGGATAAGGATAAAGAAGGGAAGGAGGGGGATTGAGGGTAAGGGTAAAGAAGAGAAGGGTAAAGATGTGAAGGAGGGGGAGTAAGGGTAAGGGAAAAGAAGAGAGGGGTAAAGAAGGGAAAAGGTGAGTAAGGATAAGGGTAAAGAAGAGAGGGGTAAAAAAGATAAGGAAGGAAAGTAAGGATAAGGGTAAAGAAGGGAAGGAGTGGGAGTAAGGAGAGGGGTGATAAAGGGACAGAAGGGGGGAGTAAGTAGAAGGGTAAAGTGTGTAGGGGTCATGTCTTATTTCCTATAAAATATAGAAGTTTGCATGCTTTATCTGTTGAATTTAACACGATATAGTTTGTAGATGCAAGGTTGATATTATCTGGGAGTAAAACATGATAAACATGATAAATTATATGAATTATCCTCATGTATCAACTCACTCTTCAACACAGAAAAAATAAAATTGGACACATATATGCATATCTATCTATCAGTCTCTTCTGTACTCTTCAATATCCTTTCATTGTGCTTGTGACATGATCAAATTAACCAAAACATTTCCAACATTAATAATTCCCTCAAATGTAAATATGTTCTCTATGAGTTCTGACTTGAGCTCTGACTATTGATACATTTTAAAGTTGAACTACTTGAAACTATTTAGAAAAGCTGAAATAACACAACTATATAATCCTTGATGGACATTTATAATCCTTGATGGACCTATATAATTCTTGATGAACCTATATAATCCTTGATGGACCTATATAATCCTTGATGGACCTATATAATCCTTGATGGACCTATATAATCCTTGATGAACCTATATAATCCTTGATGGACCTATATAATCCTTGATGGACCTTTATCATCCTTGATGCTTTATTTTGTAGCCCAGTGACCGAATTTAATGAATTCTACCTACCGCCTCTGGTTCAAATTCTGAATTACCGATTCAAATCCTAATGAATATTTAAATTTGAATCGGTGATTCAAGATTTGAACTGCCGGCGAGGTAGTTTAGTGATCTAGCTCAAATTCATTGAACTCGGTCCCTGGATATCAAGATTTAAAGACGCAGCTCGCTTGATACTAGTTTTGAAGAAGCAATTTGTAAAATTCTTGATTTTCGCGTGAAAACTACTTTGCAGAAGAATTACATAATACGACTAAAATATGTTATTTTATTGACTTCAGTTTAATAAAATGTAATTGTTTAAGAATAATACATTATCTACTATATCTACGAATACAATATAATACAAGGATACAATTGAAACTAAATACTAGTTTCTTATCACAGTCTCAACTATAGAATTGCCCTGGAAATTTTGCCACTTTTATATATTTATTACAACTACTTAATTGTTGTACATGCGTACATGCACATTGCAGATTATGTACGGTTTCTTTGTGTACAATGTGCATTATGAATATTTGAAGGAACCACAATAATGCAGTTTTTGTGCAGCTAGGCAATTTTCCTGACTTCCATTTGCATAATCTTTTTGCAACAAGTGCATATTTGCAATTTTTCTTCAAACACAACACAAGCCATGCAATTTTCAATTTGAAACTGAATAGGTCTGAACATAGACCAGGCAGGGAAATCCGGGTTCAGCTTTATTCAGATTTATATTTTTCTTTAAACGGAATCTATAAATTATAGTTCTTGGACTGAACATTGAAGTCTCTGAGTCCTAATTTAACTCTCCGTCCTTTTAGGTTTTATAATGGATTGGTTTTTGGTCTGATTACTCCGGGTAGGTTGTATAATACACTGGAAGGATTTTAGAGAAATCTATAGGCATGGCACTCGTTTACTTGGTAATTTGTCTTTCCGTAAAATCTTTATTTATAGTTCTTTCCTGGGCTTAGATTGAGTAAATTAATTCCGGACAGATAATAATAATCAGAAACAGATAAATCCTACCCAGATGAGGAATTAGATGGTACCATGTCTATGGATAAAAAAATCCCAAAAATATGGTTTTATATGGTAATTAGGAGTTTCGGTAGCAGTCTCACTTATCCGGGACTGGAAAACCCCAGAGTTCTGGATTAAACTCTTAAACTGGATCTTTCCTACACCCTGGATGCCCGGACATTCTGCCACTCTCCCACCAGTCTATCCTTCAGTCTCTGAGATGCCCGGAGCTGCGGTATATTGTCCGAACCTGTTCCAGAATCCACTCCAGGTGGTCCATAAGCAGTGGGCTGTGCTCGACATATATTTTCTACGGATTTAAGAACCTCGAAATCTACTGATTTAGGTCTAGAACCGGCTTTTTTACCAAAGTTTTGTCTTAACTTGTTAGAACGTGTGAACGGTTGTTGCTTGTTATTGTTATTGTTGTTGTTGTTGTTGTTGTTGAAGTTAATAAGGTTCTGATGGTAGGGTAGGAAACTAAACTGGTTTGTTGTACTCACTTGGAACTCGTTGTTCTTCAGGGGAGTCAGCATCAACGTAGAATCCTGAAATATAGTTATAATGAACAGTAGACATAAAATCATGTAGTAAAGGGACTGTCCTGGAAATACAGTTATATTGAACAGTAGACAAAAAATCATGTAGTAAAGGGACTGTCCTGGAAATATAGTTATATTGAACAGTAGACATAAAATCATGTAGTAAAGGGACTGTCCTGGAAATATAGTTATATTGAACAGTAGACATAAAGTCATGAAGTAAAGGGACTGTCCTGGAAATTTCAAGTGTCCTTTTATTTGAAAAGGGGCATACCTGATTCTTAACGATATCCTAAACACCTTAGTCAATTTTAAACTCAAGAAGATAGATATATCTAGCATTTCTAACCAGACGAAGCTATTAAGGGGACCGAACTCTATGGAGAGTTACTTGAAATTGTTTATATACTCCCATCAAATAAAAAAGGGTTGTGTCAAGCTAAAATAATCTAATCTAATCTAATTTTCATACTGTTTATTCAGCTATACCTAGTAATCAAGTTTAGAAAATTAGAGTTTTTGGCAAGGATCGAGTTCCTCCTTATTTTCTCAATTAAATATTATAGAATTGAACATCATATGGATCTTTTTGTTTTATGGTTTAAAAACCCCTAGAGTACAAACTTAACATGTGTAAAAAACAATCTGAGTTTAGATAGTAAGCAATAAAGCCAATATGCCTGAAACCCTGAGCATTCTATTTTCAAATTTGATATTTGGATTGTACAAAAGATATTATAATGCTAGTGCTAATCTTTTTATTGGCTTGATTCTATCTGCTAAATAGTTAAAATAACAACTTTTGAAACTTAACAACTAATAAAAAGGTCCTCTGATAAAAAAATTTATTTTATAAAATATTATATATCAGGTCTCACAGATCTTGTCATACACCTTGTATTCACTGTATTCCTTTTATTCAAAACAGAAAAATGGAAATTGCTAAATCACGTGATAAAATTAAATGAAATAAAATAAAATTTTCCGCCACCTTTTGTTTTACAGACTAAACTACATTACACATCTTTTTATTCTTTTTATTCATCTATCAATCTATCTATCTATCTATCTATCTATCTATCTATCTATCTATCTATCTATCTATCCTTCTATCTATCTATCTATCTATCTATCTATCTAAGTATCTAAACAAACACTTAAGACCTCTATCAATGACACTCTACTGGAAGCAAGATATACCCATATATGTTGTTTAACAAACAGTTTACAAGGTCGGTATGCAGACCCCACCTTCTTTACAGCATTAAAATCCTTCAAAAAGATTGTTCACTCTTCTAAAAAAGATAAGATTGAAGCCAAATAAAGAAGAAAGAATACAAACCGTTTCTAATAAAGATATTTTCTATCCTGGTTTGGTCTGTAGTAATTTAAGCAAACATAACTAATTTCATTATTACTTTCTAACAGAAACCTGGCTTAAGATCGGGAACTATAACATGTTTTTAATCTTGGATTTGAAAATCTTTTTGCTTGTTTGTTTATTTTTATATGATCTTTAACTCTAAAGCCATCAAGGAAAGCAAAATTTACTTTGAAAAATGTAAACTTAAATATTCTAAACTTGTGGCTTATCAAGAATTTTAACATAAAAGAATCTGCAATTAGAGGGCGGAAAGGGACCGAAAGTGAAGACTTGCTGACTATTTAACCAGAACATTTGGACAAGGGTATATTTATATACCTGAACGGAGTAGGATAGGTTCATCTCGGATCTAGGTCTAGGACGATGGTTGAGAGGTTTATTCTCCGGCAGGATAGCCTCGTCAATATTTATCTCCCGATGACTGCCCCGTATCTCCGGCTGACTAGAAAGAATCGGGTTCGGTTTATTCAGATTCTGTATATTGAAAATATTCTTCCAATTCCCGCTTCGGCGGGGTTTAAAGTCAGATCGGCGGTCGACCGGCCGATCTAGGACGGTATGGAAGGTTACAGACGGTCGAATAGGTTCTCCTTTTACATCAATCAGCTCAGCAGTTTGCTAAAATAAACAATTAATAAATTAAAAAACAAATAAAAAGAAAAAACAAAATCGAATTAGTTGAAAATTGGGAAAGAAAGAACGTAAGTAAAGTAAATGAAATAAAAAAATGGTTAAAACAAAATAAATAAATATAAGAATATTGAAAGAATATTGAATGAATTAATGAATAAATATAAAAATATTGAATGAATTAATGAATAAATATAAAACTATTGAAAGAATATTGAATAAATTAATGAATAAATATAAAAATATTGAAAGAATATTGAATGAATTAATGAATAAATATAAAAATATTGAAAGAATATTGAATGAATTAATGAATAAATATAATATTATCACCTTAGCAGGTAAAGAGACGAGTTTAACCTCCTCCAATGAGTACAATCCTGTTCAAAAATAACATTTAAATATTTGAACTTTATATTTAAGTAACTAGGCTTTTAGGGCATTTCGCGCCCATCTTCTATTTCAGTTGTGAACATTTTCTCTTTGTATACATTGTAAAATAAAAACAAACAAAAATTTCGCAGATTTTATAAAATTTCCAAAATTTTCAAAAATCGAATTTTGTTAGAGGCAAAAAATTTTAAATTCGATCATCCATAAACCTTCTCTGGGGTCAGGTGAGGTTCCACAAAAAGTTTGGACTCGATCGGTTCAGCCGTTTTGACGTTTATTGGATGCAAACGGACAGACAAACACCCAAGCAAAGTATATATATAGATTTTCCTCTCGTAAAATTATATCCCCCCCCCCCCATTAAATCTAATCCCTATAATATTTCCTCCCCTAACAGATAAAACTGTTGAATAACAGGGCTAGAGTATCTTATCCCTACTTTTATAACTCTGTAAGTTCCCCCTACCTCCCCCCTCTTCTCCTAGCTCCCCTTTCCCGTTTCATTTCCCTTTACCTCCTTAACTTCCCTCACATAGAAACTATTTCAACTGACATTTAGAAGATCTATTTTTCGAAAATAAATAGTTTTATTTTTCTACTGTGTGTCACAAAAATGCCTGGGTTTCATGAATGAAGTTAAGAATTTTGTAGACACCAATATACTATTTCATAAGGTTTCTTTACATTTTCTTTTTCTTTTCTGATTTCTAAAATTATTATCTACGCAATTGTATACACCCCAAAAAGGAAACTTGGGAGTTTCGTTTAACGATACTCTCTTAAATTATCAGCTCATTAGGTACAGTGGACTGGACCTACTGTACCGGACCACTGCAATGGTGTACAGTAGTATGCAATAAATATATATATACATATACCTGATGAGGACGGGTTGGGTACAGCTACAGACCGAGGACGAGGTCGAGAAACAATATTTATCCTCGTCTCAGCTCGGGACTGATGGGCGCTCTCCGCCCTCACATGATGATGCCCTACACTCGTCCGACCCTGATGTCCAGACTGTGTCCGGATGAAATGTCCCGTTTCAAGCCGAACCGGACTCACGGAGTCGAAACGACAATTGTTTCTTGAAGGTCCATTTTGGTGAACCTTGGTGGATCCATTTTGGAAACCGTTTGAGTTCGGATGATTGTGCACACCCTCTCTGATCTGACTAGTCTGATTACCAGAGATAAATATTTCTGTTTTATTCTTAGATTCCGAGTTTTTCAAAACCGGTTTCAAGTTCCCTTGGCCCACTGTTGTCACGTTGGTAGAAAAAGTCACGGTGTTGTTGTTGTTGTTGTTGTTGTTTGTTGGTTTTGTACTGGTGCAGTGGCAACAACAGTGTGTACAGTGTGAAGGAACAGTGTGATGGGAGGGGGAGGGAGGAGCGAAGACGGTTCCAGCACAACGGATTAGGAACTCCGTGATAACAGCTTGCAACCCGACATCCTGAATAAACTTAAACCATCAACACTGAGTCGAGATTTTTCAACATGAGAGGATTGTTGACATCAAGGGGAGGGGGGGATTAGATGGGATTGGTGTAGGGGAAGGATGGGAATGGAATATCAGATGGGGGAAATGGAATGAGAGATAGTATGATGGGATTTGAGAGGTGAAGAGATGAGAAAGAGGCGTGGAGGGAACNACAAAGCTTTGAGAGTATTTTTATTGATTTCCGAGCAAGTATTTAAAAGAAAATAATTGAATCTTCGCCATTAACTCAAATTTTCTAATCCCTATATCTTTCCAACCTAATGGTGTAACCCTATCATATATTAAAACTTGGGTTTTTTAATCCAACAGAATTCAAAGTTTTAAATATCTAAAGTCTACGACATTGGGATAAAAATATATAGGGATTAGAAAAGACTAAATGTCGTTGGTCCAGAAAAAATTTCATTTTTAAAACCTAAAATTTGATCATTTAAAGAAAAAATAGAAATGATACAGTTCAAGTTCTGAAGAAATACTTTTAAAAAATTAAAATAGTAAACCTGTAATGCATCCTGTGTATCTAACTCCGAAACATCGCACCTAGAAACAAATTGAATAATTAATCCGATTTTTTTTATATTTCTCTAAAATGTCAAACCTTAGGATATTCGGTGACCAAACGATCGCCAAGTTTTTGCTCGTCATCCCAGTTCTGTCCGCCTGCTGGGACATTCGGTTCAGATGTCTCATCAACCAGTCCATTGTCCTAGGACAGAAATATATTAATATTAACATATGTACTACAGAGTTAGTTTTATGTAAACACTATAGGTCGACCAAAAGTATGAATTTAACGGCCAATTTGTGCTCTATAGCACGTCATTAAGACGGATTTTTTTCTGACAAGAAACCTACTCTGTGTACACTGTACTAGACTTTAGTGAGGGTACACTGTACTAAACTATAGGGAGGGTACACTGTACTAGACTATAGGGAGGGTACACTGTACTAGACTATAGGGAGGGTTGCCCCTAAGGATGATATATTAATCACAACCCTAAGTACGTAAAAATTATGCATTTTGTATTCAATATTTTGAATTCATTATTCTACAAAGTAAAAGAATAAGTTTACTGCTAGATATGGAAAGAATGTCGTGAACTCGGCTTTAACGCCGTATTCTTCCTCTCTGGGCAATCCCACACTTTTTATGTGCTTCAGAAATCTACAAAGAAATGGAAGAAAAATAATATTATTAAAGGGACAGTAAATTAAAAATGAAAGGGGGTATAGACTGAAAGCTAATCACTTTAGCTCTCGATCGCGACCCATGAAAGTTTTATCTGATGTTCCTATCTCGAGAAGTTGATTTACAACTGTGTCAAATTTATACGAAAATTAATATATATACAATTTTGTATAAAAGTAGTGGGTTTAAATAGATCAAATTCAGCAAATAAGCAACCAATCTGAAAACGATAATATCCCCGAGAAAGCTAATTATTACTTAGGTTTACTCCAATTCTAATTTTATATTTGTTATTTCTATTTTTAATAGATTTAATTCATAATATTATTTACACGTCCGAATTGCTTGACCAGAAAATCCACCANAAACACATATATTTCTTTACACATTTTTTGTCCTATTGTTGGCTAAACTCTTACTTTATAAACAATTAAAAAAAAGTCATATTAGATAAAAGAGAGAAAAAATTATTAGAACGAATAAGTTCTTTATTTTTCTAATTTGATTAGTCCTATAAAACAGCAAAGATGTGTTGTGTGTGTAAACAGTTCTCAAAGTTTACTATGTATATGCTGTATAATGTATATGTAGATATTTTTTAGTGGCTCATAAACCGGGGGCATGTGCCCGCCCTGCCCTCGACATTTGAATACAGATCGACCGAGCATTTCAGATTAACAGAAATCACGCAATTGAAATCTGTCCAAATCTATGAAACGATGTTTGAGCTTCTACCACTGAAAACTTGCCTCAAATTCTTATTTTTTAATCCCTTTATCTTTGCAACCTGATGGTACAAACCTTCTATCTATGTTTCAAAATTTGGCTATTTTAACTAGTATAAATCATAGTTTGAAATATCAAAGGTCCTCGATATCAAATTAGAAAATTCAAGATAGCGGCATGCATTAATTCCGTTGTTTTTAGTCAATTTGGAACTTTCAAAAATGAGCTTACACTTAGTTAATGTTAGAAGTTTACCTGTAGTGAGCAGCTGGAAGACGTTGCAAAATATCCCGAAATTTCTCCGATCTCTTTAATTCTGATTGTTTAGAGGCCAGGACAAGATGGGGGTACAGGTCATAGGTTACTAAAAAATTGAACGTAAAGATAAAAATAATGATTACAACAATATATAAACACTTCTTTTGTGTAATTCATACCCATTTTTCTAATAACAATTTAGCTTTCAAATGTTGCTTTATCGAACTCCATTTTTTCTCCGCACATGTAAATAAAACCCAAAAACTTTGATTTTTCTAATTGCATTGATGAATTTGCAAAAGTTAAAAAAATCTATGAAATGTTTTGACTATATAGATATGAATACAAATTAAATAGATTGATTTTATCCATTGATTTTGGAAATGACTAATTGCGTCTCACTGCTCAAACAAGATTATGAAGATCTTAATATTTATGTTACAGGTTCGGATATGCAGGATTATGTAGATATTTGTAATCTTATAATCTTGCTCTCCACCCAACCCCTCCCAGCACGCCACCCTCCTCCCTTCTTTGTCACTTTACTCGCAATTCACTATGTGAAAAAACATAAATAGGGTGTCCTGATATAGTCATGACCATTCAAAATTAATATTGGAAGGTCTATATGGGTAGGACGGATTACCTAAAAGAGAAGAAAGGTTTAAATGAAAAGGCAGGAGTAGGAAGGTTTCGATGACTAGAACGGATTACCTAGTGGAGCAGGAAGGTTTAGCTGAGTAGGACGGATTACCTAGTGGAGTAGGAAAGAAAAGAAGAGTAGGACGGATTACCTAAATGAGAAGGCCGGAGTAGGAAGGTTTCGATGACTAGGATGGATTACCTAGTGGAGTAGGAAGGTTTAGATGAGTAGGACGGATTTCCTAGCGGAGGAGGAGGATTTTCGATGAGTAGGACGGATTACCTAGTGGAGTAGGAAGAAAAAGAAGAGTAGGACGGATTACCTGTTGGAGTAGTAAGGTTTAGATGATTAGGACGGATTACCTAGTGCAGTAGGAAGGGACGGATTATCTAGTGTAGTAGGAAGGTTTAAATAAGTAGGACGGATTACCTAGCGGAGTAGGAAGATCTCTGAAGTAAAGTTTGAGTACGGAGGAAACACAGTGAATATCATGAAGAACTGCAGGTTCTCCAGCTAAGTTTGGAACTCTCTGCTCATCGAACAGGTTTCTAAACAATAATTAACAATCAAAATTGAATATTTGTAACAATTTAATATTTTTGTTTCTGAATTTTGAACCTAGTGTTTGATTATTAGATTTTGATATGTTTTTGAAGTTATCAAGAAAAATCTTGTTTAAATGTGCTTATTTCGTGTTTGGTTCGAAATTTTTCCATAATCACTAATGGTAAAGATGCAAATCATTTCATTAAAAATTGTCTGTATCTTTTAAATGATATCTCCATTCTCCACTAAATTAGTTCGTCCCAGCTTTAAGTTATCATATATCAAAGAGGTTTTACCTTATCTCTATGTACATTACTATAATGGAAACAACACCATACCCGGCCTCGCTTAAAGGGACTGTAGACGTATTTTTAAAGTGATCCTCTATTTTCAAAATGGAATGTCCGATTTTCATTTCTCTGATCAAGAATGAATAAGAGTTTTACTGGCCAAAAAAGGATAAAATTAACAGAAAATAACATTTTTCAGATAAATGGTTTAAATGATTCCGTTTTTAATACGACATGCACTCTATAAATGAATGGTCACTTTAAATCAGCTCCATGGCTCATACTCAAACCTTTATGGCAACATGATACCTTAGAGTTAACCTGACAACTATAGAGTTAACATGACACCTTAGAGTCAACATAACATCAAGGAGTCAACATGAAACCTAGGAGTCACTATGACACCAAGGAGTTAACATGACACCAAACAGTCAACATGACACCAAGGAGTCAAAATGATACCTAGGAGTCAACATGAAACCTAGGAGTCACTATGACACCAAGGAGTTAACATGACACCAAGCAGTCAACATATGACACCAAGGAGTCAACATGACACCTTAGAGTCAACATAACACCTGGGAGTCAACATGACACCTAGGAGTCAACATAACACCTGGGAGTCAACATGACACCTAGGAGTCAACATGCCACCTAGGAGGCTACATGATACCTAGGAGTCAACATTACACCCAGGAGTCAACACTTTACCTCGGAGTCAACATGACACCTAGGGGTAACCATGACACCTAGGAGTCAACATGACACCTAGGGTTTACCATGACATCTAGGGTTTACTATGACACTCACAAGTCAACATGACACCTAGGGTTCACTATGACACCAAGGAGTAAACATAACACCTAGGGTTCACTACGACACCAAGAAGTCTCCACGACAAATGCTGTTCCCCCTGACACCTAGTGATTCCTTTTCTGATTAATGAATGGTGTATCTAGTATTCCCGTGCTATTATACCGGGCTTGGTAATTATAAAACAATTACACACATATTAATTATGATAGGATCTCCCAGTAAGATTTATTAGGGACGAACTGGGAGCGTAGCCAGCTATGGAATGGAATAAGAAAAGAAAGACTCAAAGTCACAATTGCTATTCGTTTCCGCCTTACTAGATGATCATCAATTATCAATAGCGATGGGTGGGAAGGATGGGGACTGTGGGGGGGGGGAGATAAGCAAAACCAAAATAAACATTTTAAGTGAATAAAATACAATTTGATAAAATTTAAATGATTAAATTGTTGATTCCTGATTCAATTCCACGTGTTGTGTTTTTTAATGCCTGTATTGCATGAGAAGATTTGAACTGTTGAGGCATTATAGAATTATAATGATTAGAGATAAAATATAAAGGTATTATAGAATTATAATGATTAGAGATAAAATATTAAGGTCTAAATATACAAACAAGGGTTTACGTTTAGTCTGGCAAACCTTCCTCTAGACTTCCTGGTCTATTCTTTCCTTAAACTCTTCTCCTGTCCGTCTTATCTTTCTCTTTTTTCATTTTTTTTCAGTGAATTTCATCTTTTCTAAATATTTCTTCTATTCCTCAGCGCCCTTAATCCTTTTATCATTCTTGTTTCTTCTGTCAATCTTATTTTTTTTCTTCACTGTTTTTTTTAATTGTTCTTTTTTATTTATTGTAATTTTTCTTTTCTTTGTTTTCTTCTTTTCTTTATTGTTCTTTTTATTTCTTGTTCTTCTTTTCTTCTTGGTTTTTATTTTTATTTTCTTTATCGTTCTTTTTTTTTGTTCTTCCTGTTTTTTTATTTCTCTCTTGTTTTTTCATTTCTCTTCTTGTCTTTTTTTCATTTCTCTTCTTGTTTTTTTCATTTCTCTTCTTGTTTTTTTCCATTTCTCTTCTTGATTACTTTATTGTTCTTCTTGTTTTCTTGATTTCTCTTTTATTTGTTTTCATAGTTTTGATTTGTTTTATTGTCCTTTTTCTTCAAGTTTTTCTTCATTAGTCCTCTTCTTGTCGTCTTCTTGTCCTCTTCGTGTCCTCTTCTTGTCCTCTTTTACCCCTTCTGTCTTAGAACTGTTCCAGTCAAAAATAAAAATTATGAATTATTTCATTTTTTAAAAAAGAATGTTGTAATTTTCTTTAAAGTTTCTTGATTTTAATGATAAAGCTGATCAAAACAAAATGTCTAGGAATTAATCTAAAGAGAAATACAACTGGGTGAGAAATCAAAAATTTTGACTGTAGGGATAATGAAAGTACTCTAGGGAAACGAAATAGTCTGAAGCACGTCGTTTTAGTTTTGTTACTTGGTGTATTAATATTTTCAATATATTCTGAAAACCTGTAATTATAAATTGCACTTAGACTATGAATTATGATTCATCTTGTTAATTCTATCATATATTGTACGTATTCTAACCCCCATATAATAAAAATAATATTCACTTGATGAGCTTGTAACCTAATGCAATTAAATTTTTAAATAATTAAAATATTTTCTTTTCTTTTTGTTTAAGATAATATAACAAAAAATTTATTTTGCAATAATAGTAATGGAAAAATTAAAAATAACGTTTTTCAAATTATTTTTTTTGTCGAATATTGGTCGATATCTTATACAATTGTAGACTTCAAATTGCAACTCGATCCAATAGCAATTATTTTAAAAGCAGTCTTTAAATATTCTGATTCTAATCTTTAGAATTGAAACCATTATTTAGACATAAATACTTTATTCTAATAAATCAAGCATATGCACACATTTATATACCACACTATTATTTATTCAAATTGGAAGGTTAAAGTATAACAATACCTCGGTGAAACCAAGACAATAAAGTGATTAGGATTTGTTTGTTTGACCAAGATATATGGATTTTGTACAGTGTAATTTGGTTAGTTTGGCGGGTTTTTTAATTATCAATTGGAATAGATGAGAAGGATGAATGGCTGAGACAAAAAAAGAGGTTTGAGGAGAATTGATTTTCTTAAAAGAAGAAAGACAGGAAGGATGAAGGAAGGATGCAGGATGGATGAAGGAAGGATGTAGTATGGATGGTATGTTGTGTGGTTGGATGTCCTTTAATCCAACCACAAGTGTCGACACTTATAGCCTTAAAGATAAAACATTCTTCCATCAATCCATCATTTCAAAACATGCAAGCATACATACAGTGTATATATTAAATACTTTTCCTAGTCATAAACAAATTAAAAGAGTTTGAATCTGATTAATAAATTATTTTCATTGGAATTAGTTTTTTAAATGAAGATTTTTATGTAACAGAAAATGATGAATAGTTACAGGCTAGCTACAAAAGTAAACATATTTTTCTATAAATATTGATAGCATGTACAAAGGAATTTACAAAGTCTATAGCCACAAACTTATATTTCTATAATCCCTATATATTAGCAACCTGATGGTATAAACCTTTGATATTTCAAACTTATATTTTCTAATTCCTATATATGAGCAGCCTGACGCTATAAACCTTTGATATTTCAACCTTATATATTTTTATAATCCCTATATATGAGCAGCCTGATGGTATAGATCTTTGATATTTCAAACTTATATTTTCAAATCCATATATATTAGCAGCCTGACGGTAAAAACCTTTGATATTTCAAACTGATATTTTCTAATCCCTATATGTAAGCAGCCTGATGGTATAAAACTAGGATATTTCAAACTTATATTTTCTAATCCCTATATATTAGCAGCCTGATGGTATAAACCTTTGATATTTCAAACTTATAATTTTCTAATTCCTATAAATGAGCAGCCTCATGGTATAACCTTTGATATTTCAAACTTATAATTTTCTAATTCCTATAAATGAGCAGCCTCATGGTATAACCTTTGATATTTCAAACTTATAATTTTCTAATTCCTATATATGAGCAGCCTCATGGTATAAACCTTTGATATTCAAACTTATATTTTCTAATTCCTATATGTGAGCAGCCTGATGTTATAAACCTTTGATATTTCAAACTTATATTTTCTAATTCCTATATATGAGCAGCCTCATGGTATAAACCTTTGATATTTCAAACTTAGACTATTTAATCTAACAGAATCAATAGTATCTAAGGTCTCAGCATTGAGTTGCAAAGAGATATATAAGGATGAGAAAATCATAATATTTGCAAATTTTCTTGTTTGAAATCATAATATTTCATAACATCAAAACCCTGTCTTTTCCTTTGTCAGAGTATATGTTAAGATGCTTATATCATATTGTTTATAAAGTATGGCAAATTAATATACAATTGTACGGTGATAAAATTGTACAATCTAAGTTTTATGAAGCAGAAAAATCCTTCTTTAGATAATAAGATTTCAATACAAAAAGACGTTTATGACGCTTATTAGGCTTTATGGGGTTGGATGTTAACATTCAACTGAGGTAGTAAACAACCTTTTTGACCTGTTCAAATTAGAACTTTAATTGGATTGTTTATGAATTTCAAAAATGAGGTACGGTACAAATCTTAAAGATTGCAAGCACTATTTCATTACTACTCCAATGATACTATTAAATGGTCGTTTAGACAATTTGAATTCACTAATTTAAAGTTTATTACAACTTTAAAATTTAAAAAGTAAACTTTTAGATTAAGATTATTTTACAATGAACACATGAGCGTTCACGAGCTGGGGGGATGGAGGAAGGCATCCTTCACTAAATGATATCTCACTTTCATTTTTTAAACCTTCATAGTAGACTTAGATTTTAAACAAATTCCATGATTTTCCAAAGATGCAATTTTTTAGTAAAATTGACATCTTAGATTCATGTTATGCCTCTGTAAACTAAAAATAAACCTTAAATATTTGAAAATAAACAGAGGCACTGTTTGTAACACTGGATTAAGGTTGGGTTCGAAGAGATATTAGTTCTCTGAGTATAAAATACTCTGTATTGATTGCGAGACCTGGAGAACAGATCTGTATTGATTGCTGGACCTGGAGAACAAATCTGTATTGATTGCTGGACCTGGAGAACAAATCTGTATTGATTGCTAGACCTGAAGAACATACCTGTATTGATTGCTAGACCTGGAGAACAGATCTGTATTAATTGCTAGACCTGAAGAACATATCTGTATTGATTGCTGGACCTGGAGAACAGATCTGTATTGATTGCTAGACCTGGAGAACATATCTGTATTGATTGCTAGACCTGGAGAACAGATCTGTATTAATTGCTAGACCTGAAGAACATATCTGTATTGATT